GAGCAGTCTGCCGCCCTTCCTGTTCCCCTTGAAGCCCCACCCGACCCATGGCCTGCACTAGCTTGCTTGTCTGCTGGCTCACCGTCCTCCAGCCCCGGGTGTTCCTTATTTCTTCAGGCCTGAGCCTTTACACATGCTGCTTCTTTTCCCAGAACATCTTCCCTCTGTGTTGGCAGAGTTGATTCCTCTTCCTCAGAGTTCAACCTAATGTTACTTGGCAGGGACACCTTTCCTGACCCCTCTATGACGTAAGCTCAAATCCTTCTGCCGTTTTCCATCCTAACTCTTGACAGTTTGTAATTGTTCTGTTTTGTTCACTTGATTTTTGCTTCTCTTATCACTGAATTACACTCTATGTTAGGGAGCGCCTGGTAGAAAATGGGGGTTCAGAAAACATTTTTTTTTTTTTAATTTATGGACAGCAGACCAAAATTAGAGAAAAAGGAGGACTGCAAGGAAAGCCAACATTTTGGCCCTAGCCTTCCAAGATCAATTAAGACTCAGGATATATGAGAACTTGTACTGTGATGTCATGTAACTCAGTAGTGTACCAAATTTTCTGATCAAGGAGATTAAGGGGGTCAAAGAGGAAAGTGATCGATGATGTGGTGTTCCTAAGGAGAGTCACATGGAGAGAAAACATCTCTGGGTTTCAGAGAACACATTGGCCAAGCAATGGCCGTGGCTCATCCACATGGCTGACACTGACAAAGGATCTACAATCTGAGGTACAGGATCTCAGGAAAAATTCTGAGGGGATTTCACTGACCTTATCAGACCCAAAAGCTACAACTCTTGTTGCATAGGTCTTGCTTCATCTTGGTCTTAACCATCCAGCAGAGAAGTATAAAAACAAAGTATAAGAAGTAAAGACAGACAGACAGACAGAGAAAGGCTGGCACTTCCAGCTCCCTATGGGGGGCAAACCTGTCTGCCATCTCTTTCCACTTCATCAGCATTTTTCGTGGCTGCCTCTCAACAGGAAGGTCCAGTCTTCGAAGAAAATAATCTACAACCCCTTGCTCTTCTAACAACAAAGGGACTCGGTAGATAGTCGAGACATCATGGACACAGATCACCTGTTTAAAAAAAGTGAATGGCTTAATAAAGTTTAAAAAATAGCAGATCTTAACAACCTCCTACTGTGTGACTTCCAGGAAAAATCCTTAACTTAAAAAACAAAACAGGACAATTCTGTAGAAAAAAGGTAAATTACCAAAACTGACGCAAGACCAGAGCAGAAAACTAGTGACTAATCTATTGTGAAAAAATGAATGGAAAAATTCTTTAAAAAACACCACTACCACCAACAAAAACCCCATGTTTCAGGATGTGTCCTAGGAATCCTTGAATGGCTTCTCTCGGCACGGTGGTTCTCAAACTTAGCTCACTGCACAATGAAATTCATTTGAGGAGTTCAGAAAAACCCAAATACCCAAGCTACCTAAACTGAATCTCTAGGGGCTGGAGGCAGACCTCAGTAGTACTTAAAGCTCCTTAAAGTGTCCAACATGGAGCCAACTTTGGAAACCACTGCATTAGGGAATGTAAAAGTGAACTCACCACCAAGAACAATAAAGTCAGCTCTGTGGACAGAAACTTAATAAAAACGCAGACCAATTCATAATACATCATACAATTTGATATTTAATATTTGTGTTTATTATTAAAGTCCAAAACTAGGGAAGAATGGCTACCTGTCACTATTAAGTGATATGGAGACATTAGCCACTACACCTAGGTAAGAAACCAAATATAAACTGAAAAGAAACAACCACCATTAAATGTATACATCAGGGGCTGGAGAGATGGCTCAGGGGTCTAAAGCACCTACTTGGAACAAGCTTGGCAAAGCACAGGGACCGCGGTTCAATCCTCCAGCACCACATGCCAGCCAGCCGCGCCCCCTGGTGGGCTGAGCTGGCCACACACACACACACACACACACACACACAATAAATAAATGTTTAAAAATAAATAAATAAATAAATAAATAAATGTATACATCATTTTCCTTATCTATAAAAGAATATTTATATGTACACAATGAGATCTGACAGTATTCTAGTAAGGTTTTAGGCTATAGATCAAAGGGCAAAAGTTGCTATGGTATCCAATGTATGGCCACACCTATGCAAGAAATTCAATCTTTATGTATCACTATAATAATAAAACTTAGGAATAGCTATAAGTAAATTTAAACAACTTTACAAAGCAAGTAAAGCCAAAAGGCACCTTTCTTTTTCCTTTGGTACCAGGGATCAAAATTAGGACCCTGTGCCTGCCAGGCAGGCGCTTACACCACTGAGCTATCTCCCTGGCCCTAAAAGGCACCTTTACAAAGAAGATTGTAGGGTATTAGCAAAGGATGATCCTTTTAACAAATGAGGGGCTGGCCAGATCTCTCAGATTAAAATGATTGTTTAGGCAGACACAGGGACCAGGGTTCAATCCGATCCCCTGTGTGCCGGCCCCACCTCCAGGGCACGCTGAGACAGAGACTAACACTGGGCATGGTGGTGCACGCCTGTAATCCGAACGCTTGGGAGGCTGAAAACTGGAGGATCATTAAGAGTGATCTGTGTAGTGGGACCCTATACTAAACACATTTTTTTAAAAATGAGTTTTGGACAACTGGTTTTCCAAAAAGATGAATTTCAATCTTTACCCCTCACTATATACCAAAATTAACTTAAAGTAGGTCACATAAGACATAAAACTTTAATGAATAGAAAAAAAAATAGAACAGCTGAGCCAGTTACCCTGCACCGGCGGGACCTACCAGTCCAAGCGTGGATGAGACCCTCTTCCATCCCCCCCTTGGGACCTCCCCACTCTGCAGCAACCCCCCACCTGCCCACCCAGTGAGTGAGAATTTCTAACGCATTCAAGGGACCCCCAGATCCAGTCCTAGCTCAGGCCCAGTGAGTGTGTGGGAGAGCTTCCTCTCCCCCTGCCACTCTACCTTGTCCCCTCCAGACTCAGCTCAGGTCTGGTATACAGGCCTGGGGTGAAACCCTGCAGCTGCAATCCCTGCAGAGAGTACGGGACAGAACCACCCAGCTAGTCCAGGAGCCGAACAAAATGCCAGAGGGGCACAACAGGTTCACTCCCAAGGGTGGCAGCAGGAAGGACCTGAGCACAGCAGCCAGACCCAAGCCAGGCACAGCTGGATAAAGCCAAACTTTGTAGATCTACACCTGAACTTCAGTAGGTGCTAGGGTTATAACTGCATCAAAGCTCTACAACAAAGGTCAGAAGACAGTGCTATACAAAACGACAATGAGAAGGAGCAAAATGCCATCTCAGACCCCAAGCCCACGCATAACAAGTGCAAAGGACACTAACACAGAACAAACTGGGAATCATACAGCTGAAATCAATGAATCAATGGCTTCTGAAATAAAGAAACAACTGCAGAAAGGTATAGAGGAACTCACATTGCAAATAAAAAAAGAAATCCCTGAATTAACAGCATCTGCAGTAAAGAATCAAATGCAGAAACATATGGAGGAAACCCAATGCCCACCCAGAACAAGTGCAGAGGACACTAGCTCAGCTCAAATGTATGAATTAATAGCATCAATAGTAAATAAGCAACAGTAGAAAGTTATAGAGGAACTCAGAGCGGAATTCTTTTCTGAAATTAAAAAAAAAAAATTCTCTGAACTCAGAGCATCTGAAGGAAAGAATCAACTACAGAAACAGAGAAAGGAAACCCAATCTGAGAAAGAAAAATAGAACAAAATATTCATTACACTGATTAGGCAACAGCTCTCAGATATGACATAAAAGCATAACAGAAAAAAAAAGGATAAAATGAAATTTTAAAAGCTTTTGTACTCCAAGACACTATTAAGAAAATGAAAAGGCTAGGAAAATATTGTAAGTCATATATATAAAAGACTTGTATCCCAACTATATAAAGAACTCTTTATAATGCAGTAAGATGAACAACTTAAACTTTAAAAATAAGCAAAAAACTTGAAATTTAAATATGGAAATATATGGCACATTTCCAATAGTGAATAACTGTAATAAAAATAAGTTCTGCTATAGAATACACAACGTAAATAGTATGCTTGCTAAGATAAAAACATCTAAAATAATTAAGCATGATAAAGGACTGATGAATATGGAAATTACTCTGCCCTGCACACTGGTATGAAGAGAACCCCTCCGGTGGAGCACTGGCCCCATCCAGTGACCCTCCCTCCACACCCCAGCTTTGAGAGGGGGCCAGCCGCATAGGTGGAGGACTTTCCCACTGCTCTACTCACATTAAGCCAATGATTTTAGTGACCTCAGTGTCGCTCAGAAGTTCATTAAGTGGGCTACTTTTACCTATTGCTTCCCTGTCCCTCTCTATGCTGTAGTTTTTTCTCAGCCTCCAGATCCTCAGATCATCTAGTAGTGAAACAAACCCTCCAGAACCATGTCTTTAAATTCCTTGACCTCAACTTCCCTCCTAGCCTAGTCTCCATCAGCTAAACCTGACTGCTATTGTTTAGATGTGGTTTGGTATTCTCAAGGGGATATGTGATTAAAGCCTTGTGCCCAGGGAGGCTTCACTGGTACTGAGAGGTATTGTGGAACCTACTGGAGGCTGAGCCTACTAGCAGATGGAATTAAGACATTTCTCCCACAACCTAGATGTCTGGAGAGAGGACTGCTATAAAAGGAGCAAACCTGGCTCCTCCCTCTGTCTTTGGCTCAAGACTTGATCTTACTCCCCACATATGGCCACAGAACCTTCCCAGAGCCTGCACTGTGATATATGGTATAGGCTCCAAAGCTGTAAGCTAAATAAATATCTTTTCTTTACCAACTTCACTGTCTCAGGTGTTTTCTGGTAGTGATGAAAAACTGACTAATGCCAACCAATGTCACAAACCCAACTAATGAAGGATACAATTTCCACGTTAAGCACCCCACTTAGAGCAAAGGTTCCAAAGTGTTCATTTCTTATACCACACACTAGAAGACTACAACACTCAGAACCTAGGAACCAGAAACATCAAGCTGAATGAGGCAGGTGGCTCTCTGGAAGCCTGCAGTATGTAAGGAAATCAATAAGGACACTGGGTGTACACAGGCAGGCATGTGGGAAACACTTGAGCTGCTCAGAGGTGGAAATGATCAGCCCTGAGGGTTGAAGAGTGGCAGATAAAGCACCTCAGGAACTGTATCTCAGCTGGACTCTGAAGGATGCAAATGAGGAACAGGGTGCCAGGCCAGGAGGGAGAGGGGAACCCTGATTCCTGACACCAATTAAAGCAGAGACCTGAAGAGTGGAGCTAGGTAAAAAGAAAGACATTCAACTGAATGGAGATAAAAACAAGCAGTGGGAAGAGAAGGAAGAGGCAAGAGAGGGACAGGTGTGTTTGGGGATCCACAGAAGTGGCAATGGAGAGTCAGAGTCAACAAGTATCAGTTCTTCTAAAGAACAATCTACCATCTCTAATTACTAAATAAAAACAAGCTGACCATAAAGCTGATCACAGTCAAGAGGCTTCAGGCCAATTAGAAGCAGATTCCATAGGGATGGAGTCTGTACTTACTTGTTCAGGTTCCACGTGACAAAACATTGATATTTTCTCTTTCACGGATGTGTCCAGAGGGTTTGAGCACCTGCACACAACCTGTCAATAAAGAAAACAAGATGGCATGGATGGAAGGAAGGATTACAAAGCTGGGCATTCCCGACTGAACTCAAAATAGACATCACATTGTTAAGATGAGTATGTCGGCTCTTAAATCCACAAAAATATTATTGCCTTGTTTTATTTTTTATTTTATTTTATTTTTTTTTGGCGGAACTGGGGATTGAACTCAGACCCTTGCGCTTGCCAGGGAAGCACTTATTCCACTGAGCCATCTCCCCGGCCCCTATTGCCTTGTTTTAAAAAACGAAATTCCAAATCCTAAATTAGAGAAACATTAGGAAGATGGTAGTATCAATGAAAGGCAGAGGAATAAAACCAGAGGCACTACGATCTGAGACTTTCCTCTCCAGTGAATATTCTTGGACAGGAGAGAAAAAGAGACTATTTAAAAGGACACAAAGAAGAAATAAAGCATAGTCATGTAAGAAAATCTCACCAACAGTACCTCATTCACAGCAATAAACTTACTTTCTTCACTATCAATTAACATCAAGGCCTGTCAAGCAAATGAAGGTCTAGCCTGTCATGGAATTATGTTTTCATTAGACGTAAGGTCACCCAGGAAATCTCACCAAGTCTGGAGAAAGCCCAAGCCCTCTAAGTTCACGAACACTGTTTTGGGTGGGTTTCGTCTTCTGTTCCCCTGTTGAACTTGGCTATTTTACAAAAGAAAAAAAAAGGGGGTTAATTTCTCTATGATAAAAAAATTTTCAAGTATGGCTTTTCCCTGAACCCCTTTTCATAGAGAATCTGAGCATTTACACAATTACTTTGTATTTCTGTTAAGTTATACATAGATGTATTTTGGAGTCAGTTCTTCCACTAACGAACAGTGGTGCGTAGGTACCTCTACCCTCCCACTCTCCAAACCTACAATGGCCCTTTGACTATCCTTTAATGCCGATCAAACCCGATCTTGCGGATGCTAGTCAACTACTCTAACCAACCCGCAGCCACACCCCACCATTTGTGCCCTTTTAATTGATCCTTCTAGTTTTTACTGTTACTTGACATTTAGCTTGAGACATTTCCTGTGGATATCACTGCTACATGAGGATCTGCCCTCTTATTCCCACTCACTATACCACTCCCTTGCAGAGTCTGCAGCCCTCAAGAATAAAATACTATCAGCTCAACCACATGCCACATTCTTCCTTTCTGTACCAAAATGTCTTTACTCTCCTCACACAGAAGAGACAGATTTGCTGCATTCAGAATTCTAGGTTGGAAATTATTTCCTCTTCAAATATTTTAATAAAATAGCTTCACTAGGGGCTGGGGAGATAGCTCAGTTGAATAAGCACTTTCCTGGCAAGTACAAGGGCCTGAGTTCAATCCCTGGCTCCACAAAAAAAGAAAAAGAAAAAAGAAAAAGAAAGTATCTTTACTATCTTTTAGCTTCTAGTACTGCCATATTAATTCCTGACTTTGCTCTTTAGAAGAAAGTATGTTCTTCTTGGGGCCTCTTAGGCTTCTGCCCCACCGTTCTGCCCCTTCACAGTCATGCCTCAGCGAAGTCATCTGCACCCCATGCTGCACATTCAGTAGGCCTGTTCAATCCACTCCCTCTCATCTAGAAATATCCTTGTTTAGATCAAGGGTAAGAAAACTTTCTCCGCACAGGGCCAGATAATAAACCTGAGGTTCTGTGGACTATATGGTATCTCTCATAGCTACCGAACTTTACTGTTTTAGTACAAAAACCATAGATGGCAATCAACAAAAGGACGTGAGTCTAGTTCCCTAAACTTTATTTTCAAGAGCAGTATGAGTTTTGGCACTGGAGCAACAGCTTGCTGAGTCAGCTTATATTTCCCTCTCCATTTCGGTTTTTATTTTCTAGAAATCCTACTAATAGATGCCAGAACATCTGAACAAGTCCCCTAACTTACCTTTCCTTGCTTATTGTCTTTCCCTTGGTTTCTATCTTATTTCATCACCTTTCTCTTATCATATTTATTTATTTATTTATTTATTTATTTATTTATTGTACTGGAGATTGAATCCAAGGCCTTTTCACTGAGTTTCATCTCCAGTTCATTTAAAAAAAAAAAAAATAAAGGCCACCAATATAGCTCAGCAGACTAAGTGCTTGCTTAGCTAAGTGCAGGGGCCAGGCTTCAATCCTTTGCACCAAATGCTGCACTGGCCCTGCCCTGGACATGCTGAGCCGGTAATAATGTCCCAGCATGGTGGTACATGCCTATAACCCCAGAACTAGGCAGGCAGAAATCAGGAGGATCAGTATGAGTCCAAGCTGCACAGTAAGACTTTGCACAAAAAAAAAAAAAAAATTAAAAACAAGGTTTTTTTTTTTTTTTTTTTTTTTGTGGAACTAGTAATTGAACTCAGACCCTTGCACTTGCCAGGCAAGCAGTTATTCTACTGAGCCATCTCCAAGGTCTTTCTTGTTATGTCACTAAGTTGCCTAGTCAGTAATGTGAGCTTTAACTTGTGAAGCTCCTGTCTCAGCCTCCAAGACTTCTAGTATTGTAGGCATACACCACCATACTATGCCAATTTCTTTCTTTCCTTATTTATTCTACGTAGTTCAGGCTGCCCTTTAACTATGTAGCCTAAACCGGCTTCAAACTCCCAGCAATCTTCCTACCTCAGCCATCCACATACTGATATTACAGGCATACGCTAAACAATTCTTTTTCTTTTTTTTTTTTTTTTTTGGCAGAACCGGGGATTGAACTCAGGCCCTTGTGCTTAGCAGGGAAGCACTTTACACCAGACATTTCTTATCACTATGTATTCTTTGTCTCCACATGTTCCCTTCTTATGGCATGTAGTTTTTATCAGTTGCATGCAATGTAGCTCCTTTCAATCACTAGCTATCAGCTCAGGCTTCACAGCTGAATGGAAGCCCCTGAAAGTGGCAGGCTGGTCACTGAATCTTTGGCCAACTTGTTTCCCTGCAGAGACCTGGGAGCAGTGTCTTTCCCTCCAGGACAGTCATACCCAGGAAGACTCTTACTATACAGCACATAGAGGGCTCTGAAGCTTTGTAAAAGAAAGCAAGGTATCTCCACAACACATCAAGGCAGCATAATATCACACCTACCACCTGTGTGTGGCTCTGTGTCGATGTCCTCAACCATCTCTGTACTACCTGCCTACCCAGAAACTCTCGCTGGGGCCCAGTCTTCTGTCAAGGTGGAAAGAGGCTGGTGCCTAAGTGGGGAAGGGATGTCGAAGCCTACCTCTTCTGCATTACCGCCCCTGCCCAGAAAACTTCGTGCTGTCTACCTAGACACCCCAGATGCCCTCTGGGGCAAACAGCTGTATGTCTGCTTTCCCTGCTACAGGCTGAGGGCTCAAGGTTGCCACATCAGCTTGGTCAGTTTCTACATTGTTTATGTGCTTTCTTATTTGTATTATTACTGATTTCTCTACATAGTATTTCTCTTTGTAAAACCTTACCTTTAAAAAAAAAAAACCTTTGGGGGCCAGGGAGATAGCTCAGTAGAATAAGTGCTTGTCTGGCAAGCGCAAGGGCCTGAGCTCAATCCCCAATTCCATAAATTAAACAAATAAATAAATAAATAAATAAAATTTTATATTCAGTAAGTCACCCACACATGGTCCACCCACCAGTATCAACAGTAGCTCCTGATTCATTTTCCAAATGTTTTCCATTTGATCTTTTCAAACACATATATATGATCACAAGCTTAAATTCACAAAGAAGTTCTTTAGTCCCTGTTTTGCATACTTCAAGTACTGAAAACTTTTAGGTTAACAAGTGAAAATCAACCTTTTCTCTCATAAAATCTAGTTGTAAATGCCTTACCTGAGGAACTAGACTGACGTGGATATTACAAAAGTTCTCCTTTTTGACCTTGAACTGGAACTGTCGAAAGGCCTCAATGAAGGGCATGCTTTCAATATCTCCCACTGTCCCACCAAGCTGGAAAAAAACACTGTTTTTGAGGTTGGGCACTCAACCCTTCTCTCTGGTGCTTTCCTTTCTAGCATCTGCTGTCCCCTTGACTCAGTGGCCAGTAACAGTGTGAGTGGATTCTCCAGCCCTACAGAATGTCAGTTACAGGCATTTCTTTGTGCTTCAAGGTGACTAGGTTCACAAACCCCCAAGCCTATTATAAAACTTCCCACAGAATTTCAAGAAAAAGGTCCGGTGAAAGAAGGACCAGGAATTTTATTTGCATGAAAGTCACAAAGCAAAAAGTCCAATCTTATTTCTTTCACCATAAATAATTTGCATATCAAAAAGCATCTGTTATAAACAAACAAACTACAAGAACTCTTGAGTCTCCTGATTTTGAAGGAACACTGAGATCCAACAGCTGAGATCAGCAGATAGCACAGAAATCAAACCCAGAAAGCTTAGTTAGGGAGGGGATGTTCTTGCCAGGAGAAAGCAAAAGTCTAGTACCTCCTTTAAGAGACAGATGAGGGCAGGAGAGATAGCTCAGTGGTCTAAGGGCCTGCCTGGCAAGCACAAGGACCCGGGTTTGATCCGTAGTACTGTATGCTGTGCCAGCCCTGTACCGTGCCAGACACCAAAACCGGGTGTGGTGACACACGCCTGTAATCCCATCCTTGGGAAGGCTGAGACAGAAGGATCACTATGAGTCCATGCTACATAGTGAGACCCTGTACCGAAATTAATTAAACAAATAAAAGATTTTATTTTAAAAAGAGATAGATGAAAATGTGTCCTGCCACATCTTTCTGGTACAGCTGGTATTAAGTGAGTCCAGAAATGCTGAAAAGGAATATTTAGATAAGAATTGCTCTCCTCAGCCCGGGATATAGCTCAGTGGCATAAGTGCCTCCCTGGCAAGTGCAAGGTCCCAATTTCAATCCCCAGTACTAAAAAAAAGTTAAAAGACTGCTCTCCCACACATGGCCATTCCACATGACCACTGCCGAGCCCTCTGCCATACTACACTGGGCACAGGGGAGAACAAGAGAATCCCTGGGGACTGTCTTGTCTGGCTAAGGAGATGAGTGGCGTATCCACAGAGTATGCAGGAATGATACAAACCTCGATAACACACACTTGAGGTTCCAGGCCATCTTCATCTACAGGTACTAATGCCTGCTTCATCACCCAATCTTGGATTGCATCTGTGATGTGAGGTACAACTAGGAAGCAGAAAAGGAACCCGTCACTTACACTGTCCATCACTGAGGCAAATACACTCATCATTAAATTGCTGCACTCTTTGCTAGACAGAAGAACAGCAGTGGGGCCAAAAGAGGAAGCCCATGAACTCTTTGGGTTCACACTCCCCATGGTCTCCGCTCGAGAGTTCCAGCTGCCACTGGAAGCACTGCTAGAGGAAGAGGACAAGAGTGGCCCTCCTCCCTCCTGTGCAGGGCCTGCTCTTCTGGCTGCACACAGACACAAAGAACCAGATGGCCACCCCTATTTTCAATAGTCAAGGCTGAAAGGGGACATCATACATCTTCCTGAGTGCTTTTCCAAGAATAAGAGACCCATCAGGGCCCTGTCCCTCTTTGTTTCTAGTGACTAAAGGGTAGAACTCACTGCAGAGTGTTTGGGGCACGGCACGTGGAATCTAGGTTCAGATCTCAGTTCACCTCTCATTAGGTGTGGACCACTGGGCCAATTATAGTACTGTTCTTAAGCTTCGTTTCCCCATCTGTTAAGTGGAGGTAATACTATTTCATGAAGTTGTAGAAATGTTATGAAATAACTTACCATGACAGAACTCATTGTCAGCTAGAGCCAAACACTCTTTAAAAACTATAGTTGTTGGGCTCAGACTTCAAATTCCTAAAGAGCAAGATTACTACTTAACACTGTGGTTAAACAGCAATGCCTCATGCACAAGGATGTATGTTTTTCCTATTACACATACAGCTGACAAAGCAATCCTTTAAAAATGCAACTCAGAACTCATCATACCCATGCGTAAATGCTTCAGTGTTTCCCACTACCATGACTCACAAGGCCCACCTGACCAACCTCTGAGAGACCTGTTGGTCACTCGCCTCAGCCACAAAGCCTGCTCTCCATTCTTTATCTCAGTCCTCTGCAGCCTTGAGTCTCTGTACTTACTGGGCATCTCAGTTCAAAACTCAGTTCCTCGGCTCCCTACAACCACTGACTCAAGTGGCTTTTCCCAGTCGTGCTTTCTTGCTTCATGCTATTTATCTCTCCTTTGCAGCTCCCATCAGGAATCTTGTTAGGAGGACAGTGATCCTGTTGGTCTTGTTTTCATGTATCCTCAACACCAATAAAGGTCTAACCACATAAGCACTTGATAAATATTTGATGAACAACAAACATGTGAATGAATACACTGGAGGCATAGAACAACAAACTCTGATGGACATTTCAATTCCTAACTGATCCTTTCTGTGTCAGGGAAACATTTTACTGATGTGGCACCTCAGACTTCCTAAGAGCTAGAGGCAGATGCTGTTACTATTTCAGTTTTATAGAAAGGGAAACTACATCTCAGGAGGTTACACAATCGAGATGCTGATGGATATAAAGTGCTACAGTAGTCCCTCACTTATCGCAGAGATTACGTTCCAGACACCCAGGTGATAATTGAAAATCAGCAAAGTAGTGACATATTTTAACGCACACACACACATACACACACACACACACACACACAGGCTTTTAACTCTTATAAACATTTCCTACACTTTTTTAAACACTTCTAATGTTCCTAACCATTTTCTAAACTTGTAAAGCTACATAATTTTAACATATGTATACTGTGCTATACTGCAAAATCCTACAATATAGCAAAAACTCCACAATAATTTAGATTAGTATTTTTTGAAAACTCGTAAAACAGTGAGTCTGCAAAAGTCGAACCATGAAATAGCAAGAGATTACTGTAATTAGCCCAGAATATGGTCACACTAAGACAGGAGATTAGGATGTGGCAAAGCTGGCCGGGGAAGTGAGCGTGACCTATTAACTACGAGATCCCAGTCCCATGCGCAGAACAGCCCCCAAAAGCCTTGCTCATGGACTTGTCTGAGAACCTGAGCAGGTTTTCCACAGGATGGCCTAGACCAATGTCAGCCTCAGGTGTGGGACCTCAGCACTACACTGTTTCTAGTTAAGTAGAGTCATCCTGATTAGCTAGTCATCAAGGGACTCAAAATACCAGCTAAGCCATCGAGGGACTCAGTCTAAATGCAAGTTGAACCATCAAGGGGTTCAGCCAGGTGGCTCAGGGAACTTTGCTTGTGTGGAAGTTTGCCCTTCCTTCATGGGAGCATGAACCAGGCAAGGCCTAGAGATGGCCCAGCTGCTACCAGTTAATGGGTCCTACTGTGGACACCAAAGCCCCAGGGGACTTTCTGCTGTGCCTAATGATGCTGGCATCACTCTGAGGTTCTCAGATAGAGAGGTCTGTCTAGGTTTTGTAAAGTCTCACAAGGGGCACCTTGTGGACCTCAGCCTTCTTCCTTGTGGAGCACTTAGTTTTGTCTCCTTCTCTAAATCCCCAGACAAGCAAATGGGAAATCTTTTTGATCTCACAACCAAAGTTTTTACTGACATCACCACTAAGCCTACTTGAAGAGGGAAAGATTTGGTCCTGATAATCTAAAACAGGAGCAACTTATCTACTATCATGACACGGTTTGGGTCCAATATGAACTGGGAGATGGCGAAAGATTAGAAAGGGAAGGTACTTCAAATTATGAGACAATTTTCCAGTTACAGCTTTTTTGCTTAAAACAAAACCATAGGTGGAATGAAATGCCTTACATTTAGGCTTTTGTGACTCTTTATCAAAAGCAATAAATGCTCAGGAGCTATGGTGTTTAGAGTGGCCTCCAAGGAGGAAAAAGCTATTATAGGTGACCCTGTCCTAAGAACCCCCACTAATCCCCTAAGGGGATGTGGGTCTCTCTGATTTGTCTGATACTGGGAGGTTGCCGTGACCTCCTCCTTATAGCACATAGACCAATAAATCACCCCTCCAGTGACTCTGGATCTCCACTGGAGCCCAGTGTTCCAGGAGAACTCAGTGCTCCTAACGCCACTTATCATGCTTCGCAGACAGCTGTAAGACACACAGGTGGAACCTCGAGTGGTGCTTCTACCCTAATTCACAATTGAGCTTACCTGAAGAGAAGCCTCAGTGGTGAGAGGCAATGCTCGAGTAAAAGTCCCTTTCCCTTTTTCAGTTGTAGGTGCCCAACAGTGCAAGGAGTGATTAGGTCAACTATCAGAGGACCCTGCTAAGTTTGCAGGTGGATTTCTTTTTTTTTTTTTTTTTTTGGCAGACCGGGGATTGAACTCAGACCCTTGCGCTTGCCAGGGAAGCGCTTATTCCACTGAGCCATCTCCCTGGCCTGCAGGTGGATTTCAATTGGCCCTTGCTCTCAATTTACCATAGCAAGATGCCCAATACATCTTGGCCATTTGCTGTAACTCAGATGAAAAATAAAGACTCCTAAAAGAGGCTAAAAACTAAAAAAAAAGAAACCTTGAAAGGGGGAAAAAAAACCACCCTGTAGAGGGTATCCAGCCTCTAACAGAGCCAAACTGGGACTGTAATATATATTAAGCTGGGACTAGAAATGCTATCTAATATGGTAGCTACTCTTACCATGGGGATGAAAAGATGCATTAAAAAGTCTATTAATTATGGTAAAGTAAGTGGGATCTTGCAAGGTACAGAAGAGAACCCAGCTTTGTTTTCTAACTGATTAGCAGAGGGCTTTTCAAGTATACTAAGATCCCTCTTCCATGGATGGAGAGGCACTAATGGGACACTACTGTATCTGACAATGAGGCCCAAATACTCAAATCATGAGTTCCTAATTTTTCAGTGCCCTATTCACTTTCTAGGACGAGATATACCAGTTAAATTTGGGACATTTCTCAAGTTCTGGCTAAGGCCAAAGTGGACTTTACTTGTTGGGACTATACCAGGACTCTCTGACCAAATTAGCCAGCAAATGGATCCTGTTGCATGGAAGAATGGAACCACAGCACAGCAAATTCTGCTATGACAGTAGTTACAAGGCTAAAAGACCCCAGCCATTCCTAACTGAATGCAGTACCTGATCAAGGAAGAGGCACATCCTGGTCTCCAGCCTCTCGAAGTCCCTCAATTCTGGCCTTCAGCAGCCTTGCCAGTCCCCTTACAATGCTCACATAAACCCTCAGGAGAATATCAGGTGGCATAAGACCACCACCTCATGAATGGCTGCCATTTCAGTCCAGCTTCCAGTAGTAGATCTAGACAATGCTCTCTCCAGGGGACACTGACTGGCTTTCAGTCTTAGATGTAAAAGGTGTATTTTTCTCCATCCCCTACATTCAGACTCCTAATTTCTGTTTGCCTTTGAATGAGAAAATCCCACTTCAAGAGAAAAGCAGCCATATGTTTGGACATTTCTCCCACAAGGGTTTAGTGACAATTCTCATCTTTTTGCTTGGGCACTAGCAAAAGACTGAGTTAATTAAAGCTTAAATAGGAAGCCATCCTACAGCATATAGATAACAGTCTATTTTGCAGCCAAACACAAAATTACCTAACTATAGCACTGTATAGTCTCCACCTTCTAGCTGAGAAGGGATATAAGTCTCCAAAGAAAAGGCTCAGATATCCCTCCAGAAAGTTTAATATTTGGGATATATTCTTACATCTGGGCAATAAGGGTTATCTAGGGACCAGATCCAGGCTATCTGTGATCTCGGACCTCCTGCCACCAAACAACAGTTTCGTTCTTTCCTGGGGATGGCTAGCTTTTATAGGGAATGTCTACCTAATTCCAATCTAATTGCAAAGCCTTTGTATTAGGCTGTAATGAGCCCATGCCCTGATTCTGCACCCCTAGAATGGACAAAAGTGATGGACAATGCCTTTAGGAAAATAAAGCATGACCTTAGTCAGGCTGCAGCACTGCTAATTCCTGACTTAAGAAAACCTTTCTTTCCCTGTGTATCAGAAAAGGAAGCACTAGACGTAGTGGTGCATGCCTGTAATGCCAGAACTCAGCAGGCAGAGGCCAAAGGATTTCTTTGCAGTCAAGACCTGCCTCTGCTGTATCATGAGTTCAAAGGCACCCTGAACTACATGAGACCCAGTCTCAAAAAAAAAAAAAAAAAAAAAAAAATTAACCTAAATAAAGGCTAGGGCAAAAACTCTCCCCAGGCTCATATTTAACAAAATCGGATGGACTGGCTGCTGGATGCTCACCTTACGAGACAGCAAGAATGGCTACAGCTGTATTAACAGAAAAAGCTACAAAGTTAACTTTAGGACAGAGACTCCAAGTCCTGATACCCATCAGGTGAGACATACTCTAAAGACAAGAGGTTACTTGTTAACAGAATGGGTCACTAAGTATCAGAGCATGCTCTTAGACAGCCCTAGGTTATTACAACAACTTGTACTACCATTAACCCTGCTTCTTTGATGCCTACATTCCTAGAAGTTAGCTACTCTAGCAAACAAGTCATCTCACAACGACCAGGGAGATGGCTCAGTGTTATTCCACATAAGCGCTTCCGTGGCAAGTACAAGGGCCTGAGTTCAATCCCCGGTTCTGGGGGAAAAAAAAAAAAGATCCCGAACCAAGTCATCACACAGACATATGCAAATAGGCAGGACATCAGTGACCTGCCTCTCCAAGACCCTGATTCTTCAAGTGTGATTTACTGATAAAAGTAGCTTTGTTTATGACATCAAAAGGCAGGTTACACAGTTATCAGCTCATAGCACGTACCTGAATCAGACCTACTTCTTCAAGAGCCTCTGTTGAAGACTTGGAGAGAAGTGATGATCAGTTAGACCCAAAACGGGAAGGCCCCTTCTCAGTGATCCCTGCCATACCACTGCAGTACAGGTGGCAGACAGATAATAACGCCAGGCCCACCTGAGCTGTCTGAAGAACAACATCACCCAAAAGGAAAAAGCTACTCCTGCAAGCCTCTGGAAGGCTCCAGATTTCTCTTCAAATACCAAGACTCCAGTGCTACTACAGAAGTGCGGAAATCGGACCTGCTCCTCATCTTTGGGCTAACAGTGACGCTCAATGGTCACTCACTCTTTTCTCATTGTTTCCCCACAGGTTCTCCTTTCTTCAACCCAGCCAGTGAGCCACAGCACCCCAAGGTAGCTGGAGAGCACAGAATCCTCAGTGTGCAGGGCCGCAGCCCCTTCCAGCCTGAAGAAGCTACACAGCCAGAGACTTCCACTCCCTCAGCACCCCGTGAAGCATTATGGGGATTTGTGTTTCTCAGGGAGCAATGAGGTAGGAGATTAGAGTGTGGCAAAGCTGGCTGGGGTCCGAGGTGGGGCCTGTTAGTTACAAGGCCCCAAACACACATGCAGAACGGCCTGAAGCCCTGCACGTGGACTGCTCAAGAACTCAGGCAGCTGTCACTAGCATGGCCTCAACCTGATGTCAGCCTGAGGTGTGGGTCCCAGAGCCACCTCTCAGGACCTGGATGCAGAAGCTCTTACGGGATAAAGGACACACCGATGCCATGAAGAGTGTCACTTCCCAGGGTAGCCTGTGCTGCGTTTCCCACACACACAGCAACTACTTTTCTTTGCTCTCACCCTCTTTTTCTCTCTTCTCAGTCTAAGCTCACTCTGCAGAGCCAGTTTCTCCCCTCTCTTTACTTTTACTTTCTCAAACCTGGGCATTGGTGTTTGCTTGTTTTGTTCAATCCTTTGTTCAAGATGAGAACCTCGAATTCAACTCCAGAAGGAGAAGTGAACAACCCCAAACCTGTCAACCTGTTAAAAAACGTTTAACTGGCGAGCCACTTTTAGAAGGAGATACCCGATAAAAACATCAGTCCCAGGCCAGAGCCACCTGTCGGTGTGACACTCAGTTCTCAATCCATTGAGGTCTCAGGCCAATAGCACATCTACTCTGACAACTCAGAGGAAGCACTCTGTCCATTCCTCCACACCAGTTTATCCAACACCACCTTTTAAAGCAACAGAAACACTGACTGTGAATAAGTAGTCCTACAAAACAGCTCAAAGCAAAGCTCTGCTGCAAGGGCTCAGGAAAACCCAGGAATCCTCCTTAATCTGCCCTGATCCATGTGACACTCATGAAAAGCCTGAAAATCAACATACACATTTTCTTCCTTATCTCTGGCCATACATATTAAGTTCCAGTATGCAGCATCCACACCACCTTGGCTCAATGTTCTAATCCAGCTGCCTCCACCACTTCACACTCATTACTGTGCAAAACCAGAAGCTTCCTGGACTCAAACCATGCTGCCATGCGTGGAATGACAAGTGGTAATGCCACCCATGGAGCAGCAGCAGCTTCTTCAAATGATCTCTCAAGTTAATGGCCAGATAATTCTGACTTTTCAGCTGAAGGCATATTTCAGTAATACCTTGACAAAATGATGAAATCACATACAAAGTAAATTTATAACCCCCAAAAAGTTAAGAACCTCAAAGGTAAACCGAATAAATCCAGTACCTTGGACTGTTTTGCCCAAGTAATCTCCTTTGCGTTCCTTGTTAATGACGTGCTGGTAGATCTTGCCAGTGGTCAGATTGTTGTCCTTGGTGAGGCGGATGTCAAGGAACCGCTCATAGTTCCCCAGGTCCAGGTCAACCTCCCCGCCATCATCCAGGACAAACACTTCCCCTGCAGTGAAGAGTAAGGGTGTTTAGCTAAGTGGAGATGACATGCACCACAGCATAACCTGACTTCTGAAATGCAAACACTTGCAAAGCAGTAAGGTCTGCCTTAGCTGACAGATGCAAAGAGATCTCTTTTTAGAAAAATAAATATGAGATGACAAAGATATGATACAACAAAGAAAAATTACCAACCACTGTCTAAAAGGGTAATTTTATACTTCCAGACTGTCAACGAAAATGCTGCCCATGGGAAAAGATAAAACAGCATGGAATGCAAGGCTATGCCACTCTGAAGGATTCCAGACAAGGACACTTACAGTAAGTAAAAGGACAACCTGTAAAGACTAAGGCTTAAACTACAATAAAAGCATGATTCTACTCAAAATATCTATGACATGTACATAGGAAGGTTGTATTTAGTATAAAAGCTAGCCTCTGGTTACACTGTTGTTGTAAATGAAGGTCTGAAACTGCCCAAGTTCTTTCCATTCTTTTGTTTGTATTCATTCCTTGCCACTTCATTTCTGCTGAGAATGATCCATATCTGAGTCACAACAGGAGTCATGCTCAAAATCAGGAAAGAAAAATGTCATATTTTCCCTCTCAGAGAAAGGCATCCTCTGCTCAGGAACTTTATACTAGACAACCCTTCAAGAGCTGGGGATGGAGCTCAGTGCTAGAGCTCTTGGCCAGCAATCATAAGACCATGGGTTTGATACACAATACTACCAAGAAAATATCTATCTTTATCCTGCCCCCCTCTTACCACATGCATCTATATATTCAGAGATTACATGGATGAATAAAATTTGTAGAACATAGATTTAGGCCAGTACAAGAAAGATTCATGTAATATCAAGTGCCTTCTGAGACCAAGATGACCAGACTCTGAAAGTGTCAGTTGCCTTTGGTGGAGTTGTAGATACAGATATAGATATAGATATAGATATAGATATAGATATAGATATATAGATCCCCTCTAGTATATTGATCTTCTTCTGATGCTAATCATTACATGAGGTTTTCTGTACTGGCACTTATGCCAGTAAGCTATCTACTCGACCTGAGATGTGATCTCTCATTAGGCAACCGTATAAATTTTTACAATACTGTTAGAAGTAAAAATGCAGAATTTTACAACTTTAAGGTATGTTTTAACAGTACATTTCACCCAATTTTAAGCAATAAATATGGAGAACTCAAACACAATGAATTTATCACACAGTCAATAGGAATACAACAAAAAAGAAGTCTATGAAAACAGGAGGATTACTACAAGTCCAATCTGTACAGTAAGACCCTATAGACCCTGTACTAAATATATTAAAAAAAAAAAAAAGGAAGTCTAATAGTTTAGACTTTTAACTTACTTCAAAAGATCTATATTGTGGCTGGCAAGATAGCTCAGTGGTCTAAAGCACCTGCTTAGGCAAGCTTAGACAAGCTTAGGCAAGCTTAGGCAAACTCAAGGACCACAGTTCCATCCCTGAGCCAAACTGTCAAGAGTCTGGTCACTTTGCTTTCTCAAAGGGCACTTGCTATACACAAGTCTTTCTCATTTTTTAAAATCTTTTATTTCTTTATTTATTTGGTACACCATCTCGCTATACAGCTCAGACTCCCAGTAATCCTCCTGTCTCAGCCTCCCCAGCACTGGAAATACAGGCATGCACCCTGGTTTGGGTGGCCAGTGCATCAGGGGTTCCAGGGCCAGCATGACATGCAATATCAGGGATGGAACCCAGGTCCTTTTGCTTGCCAAGCAGGCACTTAGACTGCCAAGATATCTCCCAAGCTCTACACAAGTGTTTCTTGTACTGGCCCAAGCCTATGTCCTTACAAATTCTATCCACCCATGCAATTTCTGAAGATTGAGACTACAGAAAATAAGACATACAATTCATCATTTCTTTAAACACCAGCCCTTTCCTCTTGAATGTGTCCTGTATCTACTTCTAATAAATCCTTCTCATGCCTTTTTTACTGATGAAAATTCTTCCCTGATGAGACTCAGTGACACTGCATCCTTCTATTAAGAGAGTGGGCTAAGTCCTTATTTCAGCTTCAGTGATCCTTAGTTATAGTATATAATGTCCTTGGTGAGCCAGCAGCAGGGTGAAAAAAAGATGGCATCCATCGGCAAGTTCAGACAAAGGGGTTTTTTAAAAAGTTATTTTCTTTGTCCTCACTTTCTCCTAAGTCCTTTGCCTCTACAGCATAGTTTCCCAATGGTGTGCTTTTTTTCCCTCTCTCTTTCACTCAGGATTTCATCTGTCAGAAAATTCAAACCATTAGCGCCAGCCAGATAGCTCAGTGGATTATAGTGCCTGCTTAGGCAGACGCAGGGGCCAGGGGCTCGATCCCCAGCCTGCTGTGCCAGCCCCAACCCTGGATCTTGTAGAGATGGCAACAAGCCTGGGCATGGTGGTGCATCCCAGTGCTTGGGAGGCTGAAAAACAGGAAGGATCACTACAAGTCCAATCTGTACTAAATACATAAGAAAAAAAAAGAAAATTCAAACCCTTTATCTTTTTTCTGTTGGTTACCAAAAGGTAGGGCACTAGAGGGTAGAGGAGCCTAGTGCCTCTTGGATGTGGGAATGCGGAGGGGAAGCACATGGCTCTGCTTTCCTTGATAGGTGATCTCTTTTTTTAAAATTTAGGGGCAGGGACATGGCTCAGTAGAATATGCGCTTGCCTGGCAAGTGCAAGAGCCTGAGTTCAATCCCCGGTTCCGCAAAAAA